ATCTATGAGTTCCAATGGTGACTTTTAGGATTGTTTTCTGCTAGGGGTTGAAGACTACATTCATAATTGAAGGTAGTGTTCAAGTCCAGCTTAGTGAAAAGAAAGGAGCAATTTCATTTTTTGGTGGAATCCCCCACTCCTGCTTTGAGGCAATGGAGTTTTAGTTGTTTCAGGGGAGCTATCCAAACGGCAAAGGTGAACTTTCTTCTCGAATTACCTTCTTCACTTCATTTTTGTTTGCCACATTTATAATCTTGAGAAGGATTTGCTGTGGGAAAACATAGGGTTAATAAATAAGAATTTTTCACTTCTTTGCATTCCAATTTCCTCATCTTTCCAATGGTAGTTTTATAGATTAGTGGTTCCCAAATGTTTTGGGAAATGACAATCTGGCTGTAAGTTACTTGGAGTGGGACTGGGGCTGGAGGCTTATTATGATGACTGAGACTTTTGGCCCACCTTGAAAATTCCTGTTTGGGAGATCTGAGAAAGACCGGACAGTTGGTATTTGAAAGAAGCAGCACCCCTCCCCCACGAAGGTCAAGCGCAGAACGGCTGAAAACTTAGGTTCATAAGACTTATAGAGAAGCTGATTTAATATGCAATCTCCCTAGCACATCTCCAGAGGAACTTTTCTCCAGGAAATGGCCAGGAATTTCTTGTGTTTGAGTCACACTTTAGAAAGGATGATTTAAGCCCTTCCAGTGTTAGCAGACTGTGACTTATCCAGAGATTGACGAAGAAGAGTTTTTCAGTGAGAAGTCTTCAATTGCTATCACCTGTTTTTTTAAAATTTTGAACTATAGTAAAATCTTCCCTTTAAAAATCCTTTTAAATAATCAATATCAAAAATAAATATCATTACAAGCTCCAATGGCTCCTCCCTCCCCAAAAGATTGTTCTTCTTTCCTGTTCTTTACATCTGACCTTGATTTCTTTTTCTGCGGTATGTTTTACTGAAGGAGCCAGGGAATAGAACCTTGTTCTATTTTGTTTGCCTACATTTCATATTGATTACATCTTTTTACCTGTTCATATTGGGGCCTAAGTATTCTCAGTTTAGTACAGTTGCTTCTCAACTTATGATGGACTAAGTTTCCCAAGCCCATTGGAAGTTGAAAATGTATTTAATACAACCAACTCACCAAAAGCCATGACTTAACAACCCAGTGCATTATTGTTTCCCCTTGGGATTCAGTGGCTGACTGGAAACTGCAGCTTGTTGATGCTGCTCGACGTCACCTGGGAGTATTACATTGTGTATGGCAGCCCAGGAAATGATCAGAATTCAAAATTTGAAGTACAGTTTCTACTGAATACATATTGCTTTTACACCACCATAAAATTGAAAAGTCATAAAAAAGGTTTAAGCCAATTGGAATCAGGTTTTCTTTTGCTTAGAGTTTAAAGTGTCTAAACTGAGATACTTACAGATTTTAGTTATCAAAGTACTCTCTCAGTTGATGACAGTTGAAGCTAACAGCAGCCCCCCATAGAAGGTGTTGCTGTCTTCTCCGTTTTGTTCATTTAATTTTGTCTTCTGACTCCTAGGACTAAGTCATTCTCATAAAATGGAATAAATGGAATGACATTTATCCCAGTAAATTCCAACAGTAGCAATGTTATGTGACAATTCATTGCCTACTTTATAGCTTACATTGGCCCCCTGATTCAGGTCTGCTCAGTTAGACTTCAGTGAAGACCTTAGAGAAGTGCTTTCAACTAAGCCATACAAGGGAGAAGTCTGTCTGTCTTTCTTCCTCTGTTTCTGTCATTCTCTTTCCTTCCTTCTCTCTTGACCTCACCCATCCTATTTTTGGCTAGTACCATCATACTGAGGACTTTGGTAGACCAGTTTGTCAAGAATGGTAAAGAGGAAGGATAGAAGAATATGGCCCATGAGTATGCCATGGAACAGCTGAATTAACACCAACACAACAAAAAGTCACTTTCCTCCAGAATTCTGATATGTGAGAAAAATAATCCCTATTTGTTTAAATCACAGCTAGTAAAGTTTTCCAGCATTTACAGCCTAAACATTCCTAACTCATAAATACTGGTGTCTGGAAAAAAGAGCCAATTCTCCTTCAGAGAAGATGGATGAATTCAAATCAAAGCAGGTGGGACTATGGACTTGGTGAACATTTTGGCTCCCAACTGTTGTTCTTCTCATGTGTGTCCTATTTTCCTTGGGCCCCTCAATCCCACAGCAGTCTTTGTGTTCAATCTGTATCCTTTCCTGTTAGGTATAAAGAAGAAATTACTAGAACAGCTACTCAAGCTGTATCATCATTAGGACAACTTACTAAGAATAACTCTTTGCTCTTCTCTGAGACATATGGATTTATATACTCATAGTCCTCATAAAGGACTCAAAGTGCTCTTTTGTTTTCCACTAAGGTACCTAATATGCCCTAAAGAAAGATAGTAAAATACTTAAGATTCAGAAAAATATAGACTGGTTGGGATAAAAGGCCTACTCCTCTGAACTAGAAACTTCTAATATCTTAACTAATTATCTATTACGAGGGCTGTTTTAAGTTGTACCCTACCTTTTGTCAAGACAGATCCTTTGTTGAATGTCAGAGAAAATGATGCAGAGACATTGAGTTGCACTGACTAGGGCCTTGAGAGAAGTTGGTAAGACCAGAAAGCCCCAAAGTTCATTTCTCAGTGAACAGATATCTCTCCTCCCCCAAGTCTTCTTTATATGAATATAGAAGGCTTGTTGTTGTTGTTGTTGTTTGTTTGTTTTACTATGCTCTTTTTTTTTTTTTTTTTGTACCAGGGATCGAACTCGGGTCCTTCTCCCTGCGAGGCAGGTGGTGGAACCACTGAGCTAAATCCCCGGGCCACTATGCTCTTCATTACTGAATACCTATGTCAAATAATCTGGTGGTGGTTTTTCTGAGGGAAACCAAGACCCCCATCAGAACTTCTCTCACAGGAGAAAACCCATAGACACTACTACACAGACTCCATAAAGGCCCTTGGCCAGATTTAATGTGGCTCTCCATAAGCTCCGTTGTTCTTTTATCTCACCAGTAGAATGGGGCCATCATCTGTATTGGCAGGTATGGTTAGAAAATGATGCCATGGGTTTTTAATGTAGAAAAGTCACATTATCCATCTTCTAAACAAGTATCTTTGAAGGCTTTCCTATACATTCTAACGAGGCTCTGAAAACAATCAAATGGCTAGCCGAAGAGTGCCTCTGAGTGCCTTTGTTACAAATACTAAAAGTTTGGAAGGGAGTATAGTGGGAAGGGAAATGCTCATTAGAGTGAATGTCCTTTGCCTGCATTTATTTCTGACATTCAATCTTCTGGAGGATTAAATAATTTTTGTAATGCATAGGGGTGGAAAGAAACATTTTATGGTGGTGGCAGTGGAGCTATGAATCGTTGAGCAGCCCACACTGAATTGTAGTACCGAAAGTGCTTCACACTCAAACAGAAACATCATGTTTCCAACTTTTTTCTATTATTGTTGGATAAAAAGTTATAAATGGTTCATCTTCCTTCACTCCAAAAGTCTGCCTATAACAATGAGTATAGATGCAGATGATGCCACCAAGAATTGCCCATATAATGCATACATTAAAGAGCAGATTTATTTACTTGTTCATATATAAAATATTTATTTAATACATGTTATATGTCAGGTAGTGTGTTTGGACTAGAGGAAAAGGAGAATAAAGATATAGCTTCTGACTTCAAGGATGACTCAACCTAATTGGGTTGACAGAAAAGTCAAGATAATTACAAGATCTTTCACTATCAGGATTATCCTTACTGGGAAGAATTAAAAAATATGTATTTCTCCAAGTATTCTCTTAGCCTTTAGATTTATATCAATCAGTCTAATTGTTTTTTCTTTTCTTTTCCTTTCCCTCTTTCTTTTATTTTTATATACCCTCATTGAGATCATAAGTCTAATTTTAGTTCTCAACCATTCTTTAATAGCAGTACTGGCATAGACAGTGTATGTTCAAGGCTTTTTCTCTCCCATGATATGTCATACTTAATTAACTGTCACCTTCACTATTAATATTAACTGAAATATTAATTTGATGAAACTTAATTTCTCTTAATCATAGCATCATTTTCATCCTTCATTGGATATCTCTTTAGAATGACACACAGTGTAGAGGAGAAATATTAATAGCACATCAAAGTATTTAAAAAATCTTTTTAGCAATTGTGTTTTCCCAGTTAGAATATCTATTTCTTGAACCAATGTAGGCACCCTAATTTCCTTGTTAGCAAATGGATGTTTTGTCTTGATCACCTACTGACTTGATTTTGCACTTTGAAATGAAAATATTTTTAAATTTAAGAAACATTTCTCCCCAGAAAAATTCTCCAGGGTCAGGTGCATTATCTGAGTGTACTATTAATGGAGGCATGAAAAATATAAATTTAAAAGTTTAGTCTACTCCTTCAGTAGCAGAGACTACGGAGAACCAGTACCTGGAGGAAAGAACTAAGATGGAGAACAACTGAACCATCAAAAGAAGTCTAATATATTAGCGCGGAACATTATTTCTAACTTTTCTCTCATTCATTACAATTTAGCTTTATTTTTCAATAACTTATTTATTTTTCCCCCTCACCCTTTATCCCTCCTGCACACCTTTACCCTGGATATATTGGACTCAGGTAAGGATGCACAAGGATTGCCTCCTTAATCCCCTCCATCACTGAGATGTGACTGGCCTGGAGCCTTTTCAGGAAAAGACCTATGGGTCAGTTCTAGTCATTTGGATTCTAGACACACTGGAACAGGATAATTAGCATTCCCTTGTTCCGATGGATGGGAGTGGATGGTGACTGCCTTCAGGAATATCATCCACCATTAAAGGGAGAATGAGAGGAGTGTTCCTTTCTTCCCCCGTTCCTGGACTACTGCAGAGAGTATGTTGAGCTTTAAAGCTCAGGATCTCAGGAAAGATAGACAAGCACAATTATAAGAGCAGCGTGCAGGTGGAGCCCACTCACCTCCAGGTAGACCACCCAAGGCATCACCAAGGTGGCCACCAGCAAGTCTGCCACAGCCAGGCTCACTACGAGGTAGTTGGTGGTAGTCTGCAAGGCCCGCTCCCTCAGTACAGCCACACACACCAGGCCATTCCCGAAGATGATGGCTAGGATGAGCGCACAGTAGGACAGGGCATAGTAGGCATATGGGCGGGCCCGGTTGGCACCCGTGGAGTTCTCTGCTCCGCAAGTGGAGTTGATGTAGCCACTCCACTGGCTCAGAGGTGCCATAGTCCAGAGGGAACAATCTGACCCAGAAGAATTCCTGGGAGGAGACAAAACAATGTTGGAACATCAAGCTCTTTGATGCTTGGATGTTTAAATATATTTTAAAATTTGTTGTGTGAACAAATATTTATTTATATGTAAAAGGCACTGTTATAAGAATTGGAGATACAGTAGTGAATAAAAGATAAAAATTCTTCCCCTTATGAAGTCTATATTCAGAGGGGAAGGCAGACAATAGGCAAGAAAAAGTTATCATATGCTTAGTGACTGATATGCATTTTGGAGAAAAATAAATCAGGGAGGAGAGTAAGGACTGTGTGTATGTAAGTGAATGTCTGAGTGTAATTTTCAGTAGTATGATCAAGAAGCCCTCATGAACTATTGGCAACTGAACTATTGGCAACTGAACTATTGGCAACTGACTCACGACCTGAAGGAGGTAGGATGCAGACCACGCAGACACCTGGTGGGAGAGTGGTCAGAGCAGCCAGCTGGAAGAGCTGGCATGTGAACAGGATCACAGGGAGGCCAGCATGCTGGAACCAAGTGAGGCAGCAGTAGTGGAAGGAAGTGAGTCTGAGAGGTTGTGTGGGACTATTGAAAAAACCATGCTTGGGCTCTAAGTGAGATAGGACACTGTTGCAGGATTAGAAGTCTAGCTCTATTTCCTACCTCTGGGACCTTGGAAAGATTACTGTACCTGTTTGAACTCCAGTTTTCTCCTCTAGCATAGAGGGGAACAATGGACCCAATCTCATATGGTTTTTGTGAGGATTAAATGAGCTATTATACATGTAAAACTGAAAGCCACACATGGCATCTAGAATACTATATATATGCTGTATTGGATATTTCTCCCCATATCAGTCTGTTTCTCTTAGGTTCCTTGTTTCCTTTCTCCCAACCTCTATTGTTGTGTTTGCCTTTCCTCCCATCTCCATCTGTCTCTCTTTACTTCCTTTAATCTCCTATTTTCTCTATATGTATCTTACATAGGGAATGATGAGTTTGGGAGGTTATGGAGGAATATCTCAAGAGTATAGCAGTCTCATACAGTGCTTTTTATATTTAGGGAAAATCCACGTGTAGAGTTTTATTTGAAACATCCTTATTTTGTACTATTTTTTGTTGGTATGGGATTGAACCCAGGGTCTTCACACTGAGCTACATCCCTAGCCCTTTATTTTGAGACTGGATCTTGTTAAGTCACCTAAATTGCCCAGGCTGAGCTTGGACTTGAGGTTCTTCTGTCTCAGCCTCTGGAGTACTGGGATTACAGGTGTGTGTCACCACACCTGGCAAACCATTCTAATTTTCAAAGATTTGTTACCAGTGAAAAACATTTGAGCCTTTATGAAGTCCTCCCTTCTGAAAGAGATCAAGTCTTGGCAAAGTTAGCTGGTGAAGGAGGCATGACAAAAATCCCAGGAAAACATGCACAGAATAGTTCTCAAAGCCCTGCATGTGGACTTCTCACAATAACTCAAGCAGGTTTTCAATAAGATGGCCTAGACCTGACGTCAGCCTGAGGAGTGGATTATACAAAAAGGACAGTCCTATTGAGTTTTTGCCACTGTGTTCACTCTTGCATGGTGGCCTGTCCTCACTTTGTAGAGTGTACTTCTTTTCCTACTTTTACTTGGCCCAAACTTGCTCTGCAGAGCCGGTTTCTTTTCCTAGCTTTAATGAAACTTAGCTACCATTTGTGGTGTTTTGACCAATTCTTTTCCCAGGGCAGAAAGTGCTTAGAAACCACCTGCAGAAGGAGACTCCAACACTCCAGGACCCGATAACACTCTCACTTTCTCCAAAATCCCATGTCCAAGGGCCAATGACCCACTAGTTTTCAACTTCTAACCTCTAAATGCTTTTCAAACCCCTTGCTTTTCAAACAGAGAAATTAAGACCCAGAGTAATGAGTAGCATGTCTCAGTCCTATGGCTTATTAGTGGTAGAACCAGCATACAGCTCTTCAAATTCTTTCAGTGTCTCTTTTGGCACATGAAAGCCATAGTAACTGTCATGTCACCATTCTACTGGGAAGAACCAATTCTCAAACTATGGAGATTTTGGATTTATAGTGGGAGAGGCATCAGAGTTCATCAGCGGCACCCTAACACGTCTGTTGGGTCCCATCCCTGAAGAAAGAGCTAGGTTTGCATATTCTGTGGGGGCACAAAAGTGTTACCATTTCTGAAGAAATTGCCTTTGGGCCAAAGGTAGCAGTATGTTGAAGTCATGTGCTGGGGAAGACATATGCCCTGTGACTTACAGTGTGGCCCTGAAATCCTATCAAGACTGACTCCTGTCCCAGGCTTTGGGCTTTAGTGGGCCCTGCTCTGGTCCTGTACTATGGGCTGAATGTTCATGTCCCCCCAAAATGGATCTTTTGAAATCCTAACCCTCAAGGTGATGATATTAGGAGGTGAAGCCTCGGTGAAGGGCTTTGGAACTAGTGCCTTTATAAAAGAGACCAGAGAGGTAGTGGTCCACATTGTCCACCATGTAAGGACATAGTGAGAAGATACTTATTTATGAACCAGACACAGATTTTGCTGGAAGCCTAACCTTGGACTCTTCAGCCCCCAGAAATAGGAAAACTATACTTCTGTTGCTTATAATCTGCCTTATCTGTGGTATTTGTCATAGCAGCCTGAATGGGCCAAGATACCTTCTTCCGACTATACCCTACTGACTGTGCCTAGGGGCAAGTTCACTAAGAGTCCACACGCCCCCTTCTAGATCACACTCCTGGTGCAAAGATCATGGAATTCTCTACTCAGCTGTTTCCACATCTGTTTCCAAGGCATCATAGGCCTCACTTTGGATCTGTCACCCTGAGGGTAGACTGTGCCATGTATGCATGGGACTCCTGGGCCCATGCAGTACTCTTTGTTAAGCTCAGACAAATATCTTCAATGTAGCTGAGGTGGGGAGAGAAGACCGAGTCCTTAAGTAGGATAGGATTGCACTCTCACATTTTGTATGGAATTTTCAAGGGCCCTGGAATCATGAACTCAAAACTAGCCTTCCACATTATAACATATTTATATTTGGTAATGATTTTAAAACGTTTAGAGATGGTATATATGGGCCACTATTGGGAATTCTTGCTTCATGTTCTAGCAGAAGTAGAGGCTGGCTTGGTGGCCAGGATTTGCTCTCAGTCTTATTGTCTGCAGCTTTCCTTGAATTAAGGAATTGGCCTCATCATGGCTATTATTTTCTACCTCATTTGGAAATGTTTCAGCCTGTAATGTAAAAGTGTTAAAATGAACAAATGATTGGGAAGGGGTGACCGACTTGGAATGAATTCAGAGAATGTTTAAAAAATATTCTTTCTCTTGGCACATTGTTTGCAGTCAATATATTTTAAAACATAATAATAATTCTTGATAATGATTATAATTTTCTCATTATTCAGAGAAGGGTAGCTGCTATTCTGTAGATAATATTGCTGCTGCCAAGAGCTTTTGGAAAAATACAATGCTTTCTGATTTTTCACCACAGTTCCACCTCCGAAGAGAGGCTCAGGCCCAGGACACCTTCCCTTCCCCATTAAGGCCTTGGGAAGCAGTGGCCAGAATCATTCTTTCCTGGAGGCTGGTGTTGGTTAATGATGTCTTGGCCTCTTCTCAGATGTCAAGCAGGAGGGAAGCATAACACCTTAGGATGTTTGTCACTACCTTGCTGGACTTTTTCCTCTGCCAAGAGGTTTGACAGCTGCTTAAACATAGTACATCTGAGTGTCAATGGTTAATTATAAGAAGGAAAATCCTCAACCCTGAACACTGACTCTGAGCCTGATGTTGGAATTACAATTGCATGGATTTCTGATTTCTTTTTTCAGATTGTATTGTCTCAGGCCTTAGATTCTTTATAGCAGCAGGTGGGTAAGCCGTGGTTGTCCAGGCAGTTCTTGATGAGTTATGGATGTGAGAGATAAAAGAAGAGATGAATGAGATGCTTGCCCACTTCCTACCTCTCAGCCAATTACTTCAACATTTTTTCCTTCATGGATTTTTTTTAGTCAGAGTTGCTTATATAATACAGAGATGGGCTGGGATTTTTTTCTTTCTCCCTCTGATAGTTTGCTAACAGAGAGTAAACTGGTCTCAGGTAGGAAGATGCTGAGAGACTGAAGAATTCATTAATTCAATAATCATTAAATAATTCATAATGATAGACTGGTTTCTTCATTAGCAAAACATGGATAAATTATCCCTCCTTCATATTGTAAAGAGTAAATGAAATTATATATGTAAAGGGTTGGCACTCCTGGGCTGGATAATTTTTTGTTGTGGAGGTCTGTCTTGTGCATTGTAGGAGGGTTGGCAGCATCCCTGGCATCTACCCACTAGATGCCAATAGCACACCCTCCCCCCCAAGTTTTGATAATCAAAAATATCTCCAGGTATTGTCAAATGTCCCTTGGGGGAACGGGCAAAATTTCTCTCCCCATTGAGAATCAGTGCTCTAGCACAAGGTCTGGAACATACGCTTGAAGTATGTTTATTTTTTTTGTTAACAGGAAAGTGTGAATAAGAGAAGTTGTCAGTGAGTGAAGCTACAGTTGCTGACTGTCTAATGGACTCCGAAATTAGGAGGTTCCTGGTGGCTTCAGCAAAGAATGTTAGGAGATGGGAAAGCAAAGGCAAGGGCTGCATTACCAGCTGGCATTTAAAGATTCATTACCTACAGCATTAGTAACAATTTTTCGGAGGCCCTTAAAATTCTTATAAATTACTGATTTATCTCAATCATTATAGTGTACTCTGCATCTCTTAGAGGGTATAACTTATTTTGTTTTGTTTTATTGTGTTTTGTTTTGGTTGGTTTTTTTTCTGGTACTGGGGATCAAACTCAGGACCTTCTGCTTGTAAGGCAGGTGCAGCACCACTGAGCTAAATCCCAGCCTGGGTGTAACTTAGTTTAAGAGGCAGAGAGACAGACAGTGGTCCCCACAATATATCCTGTTGTGCCTTGGTCAGTCAGTTCATGCAGAGTAAAAGTTTCCCTAAAATATTTGCGGGGAACTTCCTTGGCACTTGGATACTCACAAAGATTTACAGTGTTTTAATTATTTGTTCTTTTCCATTAAGGATTTTCAATTAAGGAAGAGTCGGAAAACCCCTTGAGTCCTCAACCTCCATCTAAACACAACCACTTCTGGGCTATTCTGTGCACCAGGCACTAGCACTTCACATGGAGCATCCCTACAGGATAATACTGGTATATATCTTTATGGATCAAAAAAAGAGAGGGAGAGTTTCAGTAACTTTCTCAAGATTACATAGTGCATAAGGGGCTGATTTGAGTCAACTTTTGATCTCAGGTTTCCCTAAATCCAAAACTCACAACTTGTTAAAGTGGCTGTGCTCGTGGAAGTTGATGTTGGGAATCATTCATGAGTTGAGATGGGTTTTCCTCAACCCAGAATGAAACACCTTGGTAGCAGGTTCCATCACATGTCTTCTCCCACATCATGGATCCCTGGATTTGCCATCTGTAATCTTTTAATCAGTCACATCCTGAACACAGCTGTCTCCAGAGCATTTCTGGTCTGGGTTTCAATTCAGACATGTTGAATTGCCCGATAAAATTAGTAATTATAATAGCTAAAATTTATAAGCATTATCATATTTAAATCTCACAACAACCCAATGAAGAAACCAGGTTCTATTATTATCCTCATTATGCAGATGAAGAAAGTGAATCATACAGAAATTAAGTATCATGCTGAGGTCATAAACTGGTAAATCTTGGGGTTGATTCAACCCAAGATCTGTCTGAGTCCATAGCTTCTGTTCTTAACTAGCCCAACATTGCTGTGAGGCAGACAAAATTGAAAGACGGACTAATTTTAAGATCTTGCCTTTTCAGAATATCTATGCACATTGTCTTGGTAAGCTCCTTGAAGTGAATGCAGGTGCACACCGCCCATAGAACTAGTGGGAGTTATATTGTCATTATTATTGGAGGTAGTCTTTAGCATTTCTATGGCACTTTATTCTTGCAAATTTCTGTCTAGTTTGTTTTCCTAATAAAGATTCACAAGTGCAGTGAAATACATAGCATATTTATATATTTGGGTGCGTTTTCATTGTTGGTAAATGTAGAGAGAAAAACTATAGCTAGGTACTGAGATCTAAGGCAATATTGGTTTTTTTCTCAGTAAACCTGCCTAGTTAAGGTGAGAATCTTTACCTTCCTTGGCACTCTGTCAGGACTGAGCATTCTGTCTTTTTAATCCTATATAAAATGGAGGAACTCAATAGATCAATCAGCAAGCAAACATTAATTGATGACAAACTTCAATGCATTAAAAATTAAATTTAATATTGCATAGAATCAATTTTGTATTTGCTTTAGTGTATATTCCACTATAAGAACACTTCTGTTTAGATACTATCTGTATTATTCTTGTTCAACATCCCTGCGCACTGCTAGTCACACAGACCTTTGAAAATATTTAACTACAGATAAGCAACTGCCAAAGTAAGAATCTTTTTCATATTGTCTCTCCTTATTTTTGGCTATAAGAGATTTCAAGGCCATGTCAAGCAGCTGTCCTTCACTTTTACTCAGAGAGACCTTTTACTGACCTTTTAGTATCAGTAAGCAAAGGGCTTCACCTGTAAAGTGCAAACAAGCATGCAGAATAACTTTAGAATCCAAGTTCCACTTTGCTATTGCTGCATTACTATTTTTTTCATGCATTTTGATGGTATTTAATTAAATTATATGTATGAATTACAATAAGTGACTAATTATAACTTCTGTTGTCCCAGTAAGCTACATTTAGTAGTGGATGTTCCACAATTAAACAACAACAATGACCTCAAAATCATATACCATAATTGAAGAAAATATACACAATCATCATCTCAAGTACTACATACCTCTGTTGGGAATAATTGGATTCTGGCTTGGAAACAGCCTGACTTTAAATAGACCATTGAAAATAGTGCCTCTCCAAACCCTCAGCCCTGGATTACCAGGGTGCTGAATTGGGAAGTTTCAAATAGCAGACCCTTACAATTAAGTAAAACACTTAAGAGAAATACAATGAACTTTCATACAAATACCAGGAATAATTACAGCTTTTTATTTTCTATCTTTTACTTCTGCCTTGATATATCTTCTAGAGCTCATAGAGAATTTTTCGGAGGAGGGGAATAAAAAAAAATAAAAGAAAAGAGAAAAGGTTTCTACTGTCCAACCACTGAAGGAAAAATGAAAGCAATTTTCTCAGGTTTTAAAATTAGAGTGTCATGGGAGTTTTTAATACATATTTGTTGTGAACCAAAGAACTCCAAGCTAATCAAATAATCTTCCAGTAAAACAATATGTACGAAATTAGAAATGAAAAGAAAAACTACTTACCCTGAAGATTTCCTCTGATTTCTGGAGATTGAAGTTTAGCACCTCAGCTCTTGCAGCCATTTATTGACAACAGAAATACCCAAGCAAAGCAAACTTAGCCTTTCACAGGACTCAGAAACTATGGAAATGAACAGAAACAAAATCACCCATTTTTGCCTGTAAGCTGAAATTACTTGTATGTTGCTCTTCCAGCTTCCCTCTTAGACTATACTGCATGTTCAATAGCTGCTTTCCAATGCATCCGTTTTCCCTAGGGGATTAGGACGACCCTAAACTGAACGTTGTTCGGGTCAGCTGTTCAGAGGATCTGTCCTTGGTGCTGAAAGAGAGATGAACTGGCATACGGAGGATTCGTTTTCTACCTTGTTCTCCTCTTTTCCCTCTGTGTCTCTGTCTGCTTCGCTACTGTGCTTTTTAGTACATGTGTATTCCCTCTCAGTGCTCGTTTTAATCTCAATTTTCCACTCTCTATCTTTGTGCTTTAATTTCTCTAGAATAACTTTCACCATTCTCAACTTAATTGCCTTTCCAGCTTTTGGTGGGTGTAAAGATGATTGGTTCAGAAGAAGGAACAGATCGAGAAATTAATATCACAAGTGGTTAATGGAAATCAGTACAATTTAAAACACAACTGACAGAATAATTGAACTTGGAGGTGTATGCTGTCTGGGAAAAGAAAGTTAAAGAAAATATATTGCAGTGGAAGCAAAACTGAGGCATGGAATATAACCAGTGATAAAAATGAAATAAGCTAACACTATGAGAAATATTAAATGTTTATTTCGCAGCATTTCTTGTTTTAAGAGAACTTGAAAACATTTTCTATTCATTCTTACTTCTTTTCTGTGATATATGAGATGGTTGTTGTTGTTGTTGTTTTAGATTTTTATCTTTAACTTAGCTTTAGAACAGTCTAAAGTAAGACACAGCCAAGGGCATTGTTAATGGAAGTCAGCATTAGAATTTAGATAATCTTAATTTATGTTCACTTGATTATGCAACTTTACCATGGGATCTTAACTACTCCATGGTCTCCTGTTTTTAGTTTCTTCTACTTCAGAGAGGGCAGTAATTCTTTCTTTTCTTTTCTTTTCTTTTCATTTTTTTTTTAAGGGCATGATGCCTGCACTGGCTTGGTTCTAGGAGGACTTGATGGTGGATGGAGAGTGTGCATAGAAGGACCACACTTCAAACCTGAAGCAGAGAGACTGGGATCCTACAGTCCATTTGGAGGACACGCCCCCATTGGCCTAAGTATCTCCCTTCAGGTCCCATGAAATACCTTTTATTTATTTATTTTTTAAAATTAATTTTATTGGTACATTTTAGGTATACAATATAATGACATTCATCATTGGAAATTTGCACCTTTACATAATCTCTCTTGGTTCGTATTTTTTTCCCCTTTCCCCTGGCCTCCCTTCAACCCCTCCATCTCTCCCTATCTACAAAGACTTTGTTCCCATCTTTTCATTTTCTCATATTAATTTCATTCTCTTCTTTTCTTTACCCTACCCCTCCCACTTCCCCTTCCCCTTTGCCCCTTTTCTTCCTATTTCACATTATCTATTATACCATTGAGTCCTTATTTACACTTTCAGTTTCTCACACCAGAGAAACTATTCAGTATTAGTAATTCTTTCATTATTTTCTCTGCCAACAGTGGATGAGATTGGCAGTGGCAATGGCTACTGCCACGCTTAAACTACTTCTTATTTGATTATGATGGCGACCTCTGTTGATTGAAAAAGAGGCAGTAGCAGCAACAACAAGATCTACATATTACATTAATAACAGCCATCATTTATTGAGGATATACTATTAGCCAGTCACTTTAATGTGTTATCTCTTTTAATTCTTTTGGCCAGCCTCAGTACTATGACAAGGTAGGTACTATTATTACTTTCTTTAATTTGTAGATAGGGGAAATGAAGCTTAGAGAAATTAATATAATTTCTGAAGATGATACAGTTAACAAGTGGATCAGGATTTGAACCCAGATATTTTAATTTGCTTAGCTGCTGTGCCATACTTCTTCCAAAGGTGGAACATTTAGATTTCTCAGGAAGTTGATAATATTTCAGAGAGATTAGTAGTTATAATGCCAATAATAGTGATATTGATAATATAACATTTTTATGGTAACTTGTTTAAAAGCATTTTCTAAATCATGTTCTTGATTGCATCTTATTTCAATCCTCATGATGCTAATTTTTTTTTTTTTTTGGTACCAGGGATCAAACTTGGGACCTTGCACTTGAGAGGCAGGTGCCAGAACCACTGAGCTAAATCCCTGGCCCCATGATGCTAATTTATATAGAGGCTGTTAAGGACTGAAATATGTCCCCCCCAAATTAATCTATTGAAATCTTAACCTATGAATGTGACTGTATTTGAAGACTAGATCTTTACAGTGTTGACTAAGTTAAAAGGAGGCCTTTAGGGTATGCCCTAGCCCAGTGGGATTGGTGGTTTAGTAGGAAGAAGTGGGATGACCAAAGGAAGGGCCACAGAGACACAGAAAGATGGTAACTAAGCCAAGGAATGGAGCCTTAGGGAAAACCAAATCTGCTAACATGTTGATCTTGGACTTCAATTTTCAGAATTGTGAAAATGAATTTGTTTAAGCCATTTGGCCCATGTTGGCTTATTGCAGCAGCCTTAGAAAACTACTATAAAAGCTTAGAGAGTCAGGCACCACATCTAAAGTTGCTCATCATTTATTGGGCACAAATATATCAGAAATGTGGCATAACTTTATTGAACATGCTGAGACTGGAACTCCCAGCTTGAATGTGAACTCCAGTCTCTTCTTTTTTTATATCAGAAGACCATGGGAATATGTACTTCTAGAGCTTGGCTTGTCTGATATATAAGAGTAGGGAGTAACTGGAGGGTAGAGTGCAGGCAAAAAGGAGTGGAGGGATTCTAGGAAGTTCAGCGCCTCATATTGCTCATTTTGCTCATTTTCAGCCTCATAGTTTCAGTAGCCTGATTAGTTTTTAATATTTGAAGATATTTTGTCAAATGATAACATCTTTGTGATGCATGAATATAGCAGAAAAGGCCTAATTTCTAGACTTCCTGTGTGGAGAACACAAAATGTATCCTCACAGGGCAGCTATAAATGCTGGCAGAATTTCCCCACGTTTTTGTAGTGCTTTTCTTTGGCAAAGTTCAAAGGAAGATAAAGAGTGAAGACTCTTATTCTAATTCTATGTAAAAGCTCCAGACTGGGAAATTAACATACCCAAAATCATACATCTAAGAAACCAATGAAATCTCTACTCAGCTACTTCCAGTAGATCTGGACTCCCTAGGGAATAAGAAGGGATTGGTACAGAAAATAGAAGGGGGAGGGGAGTAAATGAAGTAGTTCTTTATTTTAGAACTTTAGTGTTGGTTTGGATTAGCAATTGCTTCTTTTAACCAGGTACTCATACTCATCCCACTGAACATTTTTCACTTTTCAAAGTAAATGTACCTCTTATTCATGATTGGCATTGAGGATTTTGAGATTGGCCTTCTAGGATAAACTCCAGGATGTCTACAGAACAGACAAGTCTGGATAGTAATCAAGAAAAATAGATCTTTCCCCTCATTTTTCTTCCAAGAACACACCTCAATAGCATGACTGTAGTATCTCATGTACCACTCAACATGTGCTGCACTCAAGAAATCTTTAACCTTGGAACTAGAAGTGGAAGGTTAAAGCAAGAAAGGGGAAGTGAGCAACTTCTGATACATAGCCATGTTCAATGATTTTGTTCAAAGGGAAATTTGTGGTGGAATTATTCTCTTTTGATATCTGAAATGCTGCTCCAGAATAACAACATAGGAAACAATACATTAAACAACAGCCATTGAATACAATGTGACTTTCTCATGTCACTTTAAACCCCACCTAAACACTATGTAGACCAAAAGAATCAGTGTCAGGAGCCAGGTTGCAGAACCCTATATGAACATGGAAATGTTTTGATTCCATGTATCATTATAACTAGGATTTCTCACTGTGAACTGGAAGATTTGATTATCATGATGATCTTAAATTGCAGGGATACTGATCTAGTCTGAAGTACATCTTTCAATGTTTGCTTCACTGATGTCATCTTAAGTTTCAAGAGGGCAAATGTAAACTGGTAAATGCAGTTAGGGAACCAGGCAGTATGATTTCTTTTCCCCAACTCTAGCCTTCCCCCGCGCCATTTCTCTCCAATGAGATCTTGTGATAAATGACAACTGCCAGAGAAAGCTTATGTGTTACATTTTAATTCATTATACTGCTGGAATCTAGTTCTTGAAAGAAAAATTTCTCAACTCACTTGTTTTCTGGTACCAGGCTCTAATCTCACTTCCTTTCTACCAAATAATGAGAGCAAATTGAGAAGAAGAGTTCTCAACTAATGAGATTTGTAACCACTTCATCCTTTTATAGGTGACAGAAAAATAGTAGGGAAGGAAATGAGTAAATGATACTCGTTTTCATATTTATATCCACTTTTCTGTGTGCATGGATTGTACCTTCTTTTTCTACTCTTATCTTCATTTTTAATCTATTTTCTCCTGTTTTTTCTACCCCCATCAGATCTTCCATTCTTCTTTTTCTCAATTTATCTAATCTCTTTTCTATTTCTTTTATTTTTTCCCAAAATACACATAAACAGGAATAAAGATAGGCTAGAATCAGACAATTTTATATCTTAATTTATTTTTCATCTGTTCAAAAAGAATTTGGGATCGATAGATGTGGCAGACTGTATTTTCTTGTGACAATCTCAATTATATGTCACATCCTTCATTCTCCTCTCCTGACACTTCACAATCAAGGCCTCTCTTCTCTCTCTTTTTTTGTAACATTGAGCTGTGTCAAATACCAAATTTTTTTTTTAAAAATTCATTAATTTTATTGGTACATTTTAGGTATACAATATGCTGACATTCATTATTGGGAATTTGTACCTTTACACAATATATATTTGTTCTTATTTTCTTTCCTCATTCCCCTGTCCTCCCTTCACCCCCTCCACCCCCCTATTTACAAAGACTTTGTTTCCATTTTTTCTTTTCTCATATTTTTACTTTTCCCTTCTTTTCTTTCCCCTACCCCTCCCACTTCCCCTACTCCTTTAGACGTTTTCTTCCTATTTCACAAAATCAATTATACATTTTGATCCTTATTTACACTTTTACTTTTTCACACCAGAGAAACTATTCAATATTTACATGTGTGTCCTTTTTATTTCATTTAAGAGTATAGCCTCAATGTGCATCCACTTAGCTATAAATATCTCTAGTTTTTCTTTCTTTATGGCTGAGTAGCAATCCATTTTATAGAAAAACCACATCTTCCTTATCCAATTTCCAGTTGATGGGCATTTGGGCTGTTACAATTCTTTTAATTCTTTTGGGAAGATACCCAGCAGGGGAATACCTGGATCAAATGGGACCTCTAATCTTAGTTCTTTGAGGTATCCCCATACTGATTTCCACAGTGGTCGCACCAGTCTACACTCCCACCAACAGTGGAGAAGGGTTCCTTTTTCCCCACAGTCCCACCAGCATTTTATTATACGTTGATTTCTTGATACCAGCCATTCTTTCTGGAGTGAGGTAGTATCTCAGCGTTGTTTTCATTTGCATCTCTCAAATGACCAGTGATGTTGAATATTTTTTCTTATGTTTATTTGATATTTCTACTTCTTTGTCTGACAAATGTCTGTTCACTTCAGATGTCCATTTTTGGATTGGGTCTTCAAGTGTGGGAGGTCCGACTTTTTCAAGTTCTTCATATATTCTGGATAGTAGACCTTTGTCTGAGGTACAGCTGGTGAAAATTTTTTCCTACATTTGGGTTGTCTCTTCGTGCTGTTGGTGGTTTCTCTTGCTGTGAAGAAGCTTTTTAATAAGATGAGATCCCACTTGTTGATTCTTTGTGGTAGTTCATGTGCAACTGGGGTTTTGTTCATGAAATCTTTTCCTACAACAATCTCTTCAAGAGTTCTACCTAACCTCTCTTCCATCCAGTTTAGCGTTTCTGTTTTAATATTTAGATCTTTAATCCATTTTGATTTTAGTTTAGTGCATGGTGAGAGATATAGGTCTA